AGGCCGATATAAAAATTAAATGAGAGTCAGTAAGTCAAATACTTAGCCCAGTGCCTAGCACATACTAGCAACATAATAAAGGGTGGTGGATTACTTGATTTCTTATCTTATTTTTAAGGAGGTTTAAAAATTATTCTAGAAAAGCAAATCATGACCTGGAAATTTGCTGGACATTTTCAAAAATAATATCATGAGATAACAATAAGCTAGTCAAGTTAGTCAACATAATAAATATTCACAGACTATCATGTAATAAAGACAATGGGAATTGTCAATAAGAACATAAGCAAATCTTTAGATATAATTGTACCAAAATATTTATAGTTTTATGTTTCTACTTTTTGCATTTCTTTATAAATGCAAACAGAAAAGAGCTAGAAGTAAATAATAATTTGTTTTCTTGGAATCAGATGATGGCTCATAAAGTCTAGAGAAGATCTGCAAACATAATGTAAGTAGGATCAAGTAAACCAAGGAAAATTCCTATGGTGGCAAAGAACATTCAATTAAATATCACCTACATGATTTGGGAGAATATTAGAATCACAGATGGAAACTTCTCATTTTTAAATTTTAAAATTTAACAATATCTGAGTTTGTAGAATGATAAATATTGCATTAATGTACATAATGCATAATTAACAGATATGCAACATATTTACAAAACATGCTAAATTTAATATGCTCCCCAAGAATCTGAGAAGATCATTAGAGAAAATAAAATAAATGACATTATAGGAGAGTTGGACACAATTCATTATCCATTGAGTATTGTCTAGGATTTGTTAAATGCTGGGAAATCTGAATAATTTACAAAAGTATTGTAGACTTAGAGTTAATTCTTTTATTACAATGGGCAATATGGGTAATTAAGAACAAAAATACAGAACAATCAGATCATTAGAATTTACAAATATTGGTGAGGATGTGTGAAAAAGGGAACAGTTGCACACTGTTTGTGGGAATGTAAATTAGTACAACCATTAGTGAAAAAAGTATGGAGGTTCCTGAAAAATTTAAACTAGAAATACCATGTAATCTAGCAATCCAGATACTGGCTTTATATCCAAATGAAATGAAATTAGTTTGTTAAGTGGACATCTGCACTCCCATGTTTATTGCAGTACTATTCAAAATAGCTAAGAAATTCAAATAATCCATGTGTCTACCAAGTGATGAATGGATGAAGAATACGTAGTAGATATACACAATAAAATACTATTCAGCCATAAAAAGAATGAAATCTTGTCATCTGTGATTACATGGATGGGACTAGAAATCATTATGTTAACTGAAACAAGCCAAGCACAGTAATACAAGAATCACATGATATCACTGCTATGTGGAATTTAAAAAGTTGATATCAGAAGTTGGAGAATGATGGTTGCCATATGCTAGGAGAGAAGTCTGGGGAAAGATTTGTCAAAGCATGATGTTATGGTTTAGATATGAGGTGTCCCTTAAAAATTAATGTGTGAGACAATGCAATAATTTTCAGAGATGGAATGATTAAATTATGATAGGTACAACCAAATCCATGGATTAGTCCACTGATCTGGATTAACTGGGCAGTAACTGTAGATAAGAAGGATGTGGCTGGGTGCTGGTAGCAGGCCTTCCCTGGCCCCCGGGGCCCAGCCCCCAATTCCTTGTTCTGCATGTCAATGTGGCCAGCTCACAAGGCCATGAGGCAGACTTGCGGTTCTCCTGTTTATCCGCCTGAGACATATGTGCTCCACGGGAACATCTTGACCTTTTCTGCTCTGGTTGACTTCCTGATAAGGGATAAAAAAACTAGGTAAAATTAATTAAAATTGAATAATATAATATTAATTTATATAACATAATATGATATAATATTAATATAAAATAATAATGTTTTGGATATTTGAATGACAAATGAATTGATATATATAGAATAGTGACAAAAGTATAAAATTATTAATTTACAAATTTAAAGAATGTTTACCAAGATCTTTCCTATGATTAATAATGAAATCATATCTCAAAAACTTTTATTGGTTCATTATAGTTATACATAATAATCATAATTCATTGTAACATATTCATGCATGCACATAACTTGATACAATTCCCTTGTATCTCTCCTTTTCCTCACCTCTTCACTCTCCCTGAGCTCATTTATTTATTGGTCTCTTTTCTATTTTCATGACCTCCTTTTTTTGTCTTTCCTTTTTTCTGTCTAATGTCCAGATTTAAAAGAAAACATTTGACTCTTGACTCTCTTGAGTCTAGCTTATTTTACTTAACATGATGTTATGTTCCATCTATTTTTGTGCAAAACCCATAATTTTATTCTTCTTTATCACTGAATAAAACTCCATAGTGTATGTGTACCACATTTTTAAACCCATTTTTCACCTGTGGACAGACATATAAGCTGTTGCAATAACTTAGCTATTGCAAACTGCACTTCTATGACATAGGTATGCATGTATTGCTATAGTATCCTAACTTCAGATCTTTTGTATATAAACCAACAAGGGGTATATGTACCTGGGTTCCACTCTTATTCTTTTGAGGAACCTCCATATGTATTTCCATAGTAGTTGTATCAGTTTCCAGTCCCACCAAAAGTGCATAAACATTCCTTTCTCACCCATCCTCACCAACATTTATTAATATTTATATTCTCGATGATAGCTATTCTAAATGGAGCAAGATGAAGTCTCAGTTTTGATTAGCATTTCCTTGACTCCTAAAAATGTTGAACTTATTTTTCATATATTTATGCTCATTTGAATTTCTTTTGACAAATGTTTAATTCATTTACTTATTTATTGATTTAAATATTATTATTTTTAGATACTAAATTTTTTAATTCTTTATGTATATTACATGTTAAACCTCTTGTCAGAATAGTAGCAGCAAGGTTTTCCTCTCAATTTTGTAGGCTTTTTATTTATGCTTTTAATTGGTTCTTTTGCTGTGCAGAAGATTTTTAATTTGATGCCATCCCATGGAATTAAATCATTATTTCCTGAACCTTAAAATCCCATAATTGTAGTTGTTGCTTTTGCCAATATGTTGTACTGTTGTCCCTATGTTGTCTCCTCATAGTTGCAAACTTCTATGGTCTACTTCCTAGCTCTTTCACCCATTTTACTTGACTTTCATGCAGTGTGAGAGTTATGGATCTAGTTTCATTTTTCTACATATGGATATCACCTTTACTCAGTATCATTTGCTAAAGAGACTAAATGTGACCTGACATTTTACTCCTGAAGTTTTTAGAATTCTATTCTTGTTTTACATATCTGGGATTTTAATTATAATATGTTCTGGAGAGGTGCTATTTTTTGGTGTTGTCTATTTTCGTTTCTAAATGCCTCCTGCCTTTGGATGACCATCTCATTCCCAAGGTTGGAAATATTTCTGTTACTATTTTACCCAATAGGTGATACCATTAGTCTATATCTCTGCTCCTTCTTTGATGCCAATGATTTTTAAGTTTTTTTTTCCTAATGTTGTTACAGAGTTCTTGTATATTCTGATAATTTTGTTGTTGTTGTTTTCTTGCTTGTTTTCATGTTATTTTGATGTCTTAGTGTTCAAGTTCTTGTACCTTATCTTCAGGGCTTGAAATTATGTGTTCTTTGTCTAATCTGTAATTGAGACTTTGAACTGAGATTTTTATTTGATTAATGAATTTTTCACACCCAAGACTTCTATTGGTTATTTTTTTTCAGAATCTCTGCCAGTTAAATGATATGCTTTGTCAAATACTGCGTTTTCTCTCTTGCAGAGATCTTGTAGGGCTGGGGATAGGTGTCATTGATTAGAATCCTTGGCTAGCATGCATGAGACTCTGAATTTGATCTCCAGCACCACAAACAAAGGAACAAAATCTTCTTTTAGTTCACTGATTATTTCTACAGTAAAGTTTTGAATTTTTTATCTGGCATTCCTTACACACCAGTAGTAACAGCTATTAGAGTATTCACTTTGGGTGAAGTCTTATTGTCTCATTGTCTTAAGTTATCTATATTGCTATGTTGATTTTAGTGCATCAAAGGACATTTTAGTGAAGTGATTTTTCATTACTATGTGCCCTCTGCTGGGTGCATATATGTCAACGTTTCCAATCAACATGATCATGCTACCATGTTCAGTTGTTATCATCATTTTGAGAGAAGAAAATAATCACAAGTACCTGGGGCCACTTCAAAACAAAGCCCATATACTAGTAAATTTTAAAACTCTTATTGAAAATATTCTCTACAAAAATATTCTCAACTCCAACAGGAAAATAGGAATAATGCTCTAGAAGAGATTGAGAAATAATTTATTAAGGAAAGTAGACTTGTTATTGAAGTATATATGATATAAAAGGGAAAATATAAAAAATAGAAAAACTTTTAAGAAAAATAGTGGAGGAATAGAGACTGGAACAGATAATGCAAGAAGAAAAAGAGAGACAAAGAGGAGAAAGTGTAAACAAGAAGGGAAAAGAAAACATAATTCCAATTTATGCTTTTAAACCATAATGGAAATACATAAAATTGGATTAAGGAATGCAATATCAAATAACAAGGGGAAACTTATAAAATCAATATAGCTATTGATATCTGTGAAATCAAAAACTGACATTTGAGAGATTTAAGCTATTCCTTGACAAGCACTTATATGTGGGCCTTCCAGATTTTTATTTCATCTGATTTTGGGAAACTTAGTAAATGTCCATACCTCTTAGATTTACCCCTATGTTTCTGAGGGAGTGGAGGTAGCAATGTCACCAACCCACCCCTCACAGAAATGTAGGAGGCTCCTTCCATTCTTTTGTGTGTCCAATACATGTTTATGGCCTAGCATCTAGTTCTTTCCCTGTTTGGAAATGACATGTATGTGCTCACTTATAGAAATCCTTCCTGTGCTTCGAGTTATCAAAATATGTGTGAGCTTGCCTATGTAGATTTTGGGGTGCATGGGCTGTGGGAACCTATGGCAGAGACACAGCAGGCCAGTGATTTTTGCATTTTCCTATGGAAGATGTGGGTTTCTCCTCTCAGCTAGGCATGTGTTAGTGGGTCTGCAGTCCTGTAAACTCAGTGGCAGCCGATATATGTGGAGGGAGCATGCATCTGGTAATAAACATGAATAGACTCAGACACTCGTTAAGCTATCTCCTTAAAAAAGTTAAAAAGCACCTGGAAATAAAATATGAGTTGCTAATTATGAAAAATATATTAATATATAATAAATGTATAAACAATAAGGAATTTCTAAAGCTTTTAAAGTGGTCCTTAAAAGTAATAAAATGTCTAAATCCTAGCGAGAGTATAACCTAGGCAGAACTCTTTTTCTTTTTGGCAACCTTTTCTCTTTCCTTTTTTAGTAAGACCCACCTGAAAAGGAACACTGGTAAAATTCTGAGAGGCAACCAAACAGATTCATTGTAACCTCAGGGAGATAAAGGTAAGGACACATATGCAGTCTTTATTTAATCCCACTTGTATCTGAGGGGTCCTGAAGCACAGAAGAGGTTTATGTAGCCTTGAGCATGGATCAAACTTTGGTACCTATTTATAAATGAGGAAACAGCTAACTGCACTTCTTCCTTTTGGGGCACTTAATTTAGCCAGATGAGCATAAGACATCTGTTTGTCAGCCCTTACTCATTCCCTAGTTTACCATTCTTATGCAACTTCACAGACATAGATCTTGCTGACCATGGATGAAAGATTTCAGGAGATACCAGAAAGTTGACAGTCATCTTGGGGAAGGGCCTCCCTGGCATGCTCACTTAGGATGCTAAAAAGATTTGTCTGCTGACCTGTGAACACCTTGAGAAGGACTACTGGTGGTGCTTCTCTGATTACCCCTGGTTTATCACCCATCCACAAGTATAGAAACTAGGTGCTTAAAACCAATCCCTAA